TTTTTTAGCAGGTGGGTAAGTAGAAAGCCACCCGGCAAAACCGGTGCATTATCGACCAAAAGCTCACAACGAATCCACACGAGTTTAGTTCCCGTACTTTATGAATGCAAACTGGGTAAAAAGGTTTACTGTGAAATTTGTATTTCTTGTTTGACTTCGCTGGTTGTACACGCCCTACATCCTGACTGGATCGCGCCGTCTTTGATGATATTAGAGCTAATGGGATATTCTACAAAAGGAAGACACAACCGCTCCGAAAATAACTGAAAAAGGAAACGAAGGATGGAAAGGGGAGGCAACGTGGGCGGCCCACCGATGTAAGCCGTAACCAAGTTGCTTCTGCCAAAACAGGATTGGGAGTCGCTGTCCCCTTCCTTCTTAGGTTCACGTGCGTGATAGTACTTTCACCCTTACCTCTGTCTTGCCCCAGTCCCATAAACGCCAGTCTTTTTGGTAGTTCCAAGTAGCAGGATAAGAAAGCAAAAAGCCTCGCCCTTGCGATGAAGAAAAATGAAAACCCCCATGGACCCTATTCAAGATGTGCCGCGCTCTATTGAGAAAAGGTGGTATTAGAGAGAGCTGTGCCGCGAACCGAATTAATGAGAGTGTCCATGGTCGTCGTGGCTGTGACCGTTGCCGTGGTCATGGTCGTGGCCGTCATGGCTATGGGTAGACTGGCTGCGCACACTTCCAGCAGCTGTAGACTCGGTACAACAGCCACCTGCTTCGCAGTTGTCTACGCATTGTAACAGACAAGTCTGCTTTGGCGAGCCAGCAATGGCAGTGCCATCGTATTGAGTAATGCGCTCAGGCTCAGTGACATTGTGGTGCTCGTCATCACCGCAAAATTCGGGTTGGATGGTGGCCGCGTGAATGCCGAAGCCGTGGAGACATCTGCGGGCCGACTTTGCAAGCTTCATGTACTTCTCGCCGTTCTCGGCGGAGATTGGGAAGTTGACATGGACGTGAAGAGAGGCAACAATCTTGGTATCGGAGAGTTGCCAGACGTGAACGTGGTGGCAGCTGATGACACCTTCCAACTTCTCAATGTCCTCGCGGATCTCTTGAAGGTCGATGTTGTCGGGGGTAGCCTGGAGAAGGACCTTGGAGGTCGCCTTCGTGAGGGGGATGGCGGACTTGAGGATAATGAGAGTAATGAACAGAGAGACAGCGGGATCGGCATAGAAACGGCCAGGCCAATCGGTCAGCCAGATGATAAGAGCGGTGACAATCACACCGACGTTACCAAGAGCATCACCAATGACATGAAGAACCATGGCGTTCATTCCCATATCGCCGTGGTCGTGGCCGTGGCCGCCAGAGGCCTTCTTGCGCTCCTTGTTGTGGTTGTGGTCGATGTGAAGGCTGGACTCGCGTCTCGAATGCTTGTGGGAGGATCGGCCACGGGAGTTCTCGATCATGTAGGAGTGGTCGTTGCCCTTAGACTTGAGCAGAGGCGACTGCTCATCAGGCTCGCCATCCTCGATGACGGTCTCCTCGACCTCGCTCTCGCTCGTGGTCGATTCCTGTCCGTCACGCTGAGAACGGCTGGCGTCAATAATTTCCTGGCGGAAGCTCGAAGGATAGATGCTAATGTCTTCAATGCTAGTGAGACGCGAGTGGTTTCGCGAGCTGTTTCTTCGGTTCTGGCTCTTGGAGGTGGCCGATGTGCGGCTTTGGGCTCGGCCCGACGGGTCGGACTCCCCATCGAAGCGAATGCGACGGGGCGTCTCAGGGTTGGCACCGGCGGAGGCTCTAGCGACGATGGCTTCAGGAAGAACATCGCCAACGTTGCCACCATCGTTGTCCGTAGCGTGCGAGACGTGGGCGCGGCCTTCCTCGGCAGCGTGTTCTGCAGAGTGGGGGTGATCGTGTCCGTGGTCGTGCTCGCCGTCGCCGTGATCGTGATCGTGGCCGCCGCCGTGGGAGTGGCCATGGCCGCCGAGGACAAAGAAGCCGACGAGGTTGGAGGCAAGGCCGAATGCACCAACAACGAGAATAAGGACGGGGTTTTCGATTTCGGGAGGGTCAAAGAATCGGGTAATGGCCTCGAGAATAATAGAGACGCAGAGAGCGATGAGGAAGACGGCATTGAAGAAGGCGCCGAGAATCTCGGCTCGCAACCACTGCACACTCAAGTCAGCTCCACGTTGTCTTCAATCAGTGGGAGGGGGATGACATACACCGTAGGAGTACTTGTCGGTAGTGGCCTTTCTTGCGACGGCGACGGCCCAGAGTCCGACACAGAGAGAAATGATGTCGTTGAGCTACTTGAATTAGCGATGTGTCGCACGCGGCGCGGCAGGGTAGTATCGGAGCAAACGCACCATGTGGAAGGCATCGGCAGTCAGGGCCAGCGACTTGACGACCAAGCCAACAATCAACTCGACGAGAAAGAAGACGACATCGATGGCCAGCATGATGCTGATCCGCGTCGACTTGGACCACGCCATGATGGGCAAATGTCGTTTGGTCGCGGAGGATGAAGGGAGAGGAAGAAAAGAGCTCTGTGAGCCCCGGACTGTATCGGGTTGGCCCAGTGGGCAGGTTGTGATAGAAGGTTACGTCGTTGTCGCTGTGGTCGCTTTTTGTCGCCGTTGCCCGTTGTTGGTTGAAGATGGGCGGATCGGGGGACAAGGGGGGAGGGGGAAAAGAAGGAAGAGAGGGAAGGTGGAGGGGCGTTGCCGGAATGATATTTGAGTGCTGCTGCGCAGAAGTGGGAGGGTTAAAAAAGATTGAGTTTTTGGGGAGGGTGTAGTAGTGGAGAGTGGCAGAGTGAGGACGCGAGTTGAGTTTGGCGCTACGCTGTATCTTGACCTGACGGGGTGGGAATAATATCGATCTCGTTCTGCATTGATTAATTGCCTGCTTGCTTCCTTCCTTTGCTGCTTTGCTTGTCGGTGCTCAGTGCCCACTGCTCTAGCTACTGCTGCCACTCTCTGTCTTGTTTCTTCTTTTCCAGATGATGTACGGGATGCCGATAATTGATTGGGATGGGTCATAGTCGGAGGGGGGTTAAAGATAGAGAAAAAAGCCGGGACGCGGTCGGACGCGGCGATGGCACAATGCGCAATCCAACAGCGAACGGTTTGTAGAGGTAGTTAGGTATTGATGTATTCCTAAGTCAGGTAGGTGGGTATCATGACGGAATGGGGATTTCCCTCCTTTTTTCCACCCACTCGTTGTAGATTGTCTCTCTCTACCTCGCCTTATTAGGTGGTGTACGAAGTATCAATACGAATTTGGATGGAACCCATTTCTCTCCCCAACAGACGAATAACACGTGCTTGCTGTTGGCTGCTCGCAGCACGCAAAAACCAAGCAAATGAGATGGATGCAAAGGGACCAGGGGGCGACTCCAACCGAACGGGAAGGGGAAAGACTCAAAGAGCATGGGGCAAGGGGGGGCAAATGGCATCTCAGGGCACCGTCAACTCAGACAGAAACATCAGCTTTGCCTTAGTAAGGTAAAAGGGGCATTTCCCAGGGAGGTCTAGAGATTTTAGGAGTGATGGAAGCAAAGAGAAGGGTGCTTTCCATGCTCGCGACTGCCTTAATGTAAGGTGAGGTAGACTGCACCAGAAGCATCAAACGCAAGGTACCCGAGCTGGGCGACAAGTTCTGATTCAAGGCCAGGCTAAGAAGCCCCGAGTGCATCGGAAATGCATCGGTCCTCCGCTTCAGCACCGGCCCCATCGCCGCTACCGCCACCGTAACTCAGTGACAAAAAGACCGAGCTTCGGACATGCACACATATGCCCGTAAGCCTTACAGCCTGAGATCAGCCTGAGATTAGACGAGGGATAGGAACGATACTCCAAATCTGTGAAAGCTTGCAGAGTGAAAAGCCACGCTGCAGATTAGACCGTGATGATGCAGCACTATCAAAGCTTCCGGTTTTCTATCCAACAGTAGAAACGTCCCGTCTCTCTACACGCATTCTTGGGCGATGGGCTGACGGGGGCGGCTTGCGATCAACCTCTCATTGGCCTAATGAGGTCAAGAACTCCCCCACCACACCTGCCCACATCGCAGCTTCTTCGTAAGGTATGATGTATCCAAGTACCCGGACGAAGTAAAGGTACTGTTAAACGGAGGCAAGTGCGAACAATACGTATCTCTTCCCTTTTGCTCCTTCTCACCAGCCAGCCAGCCACCGGTCAGCCTGTCTTACTCCAGCACTTGTCTTGCCTTCCCTTCCGAGTCCCGACAATTTTCTGCAACACCACCGCCGCCTACAGCTCTTCAGAGACGTACGTGCAAGTGCAACCGCAGCCCAGCTCGCCATTCGGTTCGGGGCACCACCGTACCGTTACGGTGGGAAATATCGGCTCGGAGCTTTTTTATCATCGGCTGGCACTTTACCACTGTTACACCCGACCATTCCCCAACACCCAGTCTGCCAGTGACTCAATCCCCAGGGTCTGAGGTCAATTCGTCATGCGTTGATCACTCCTTTTCGGGAATCACTGACGCATCTTCTCAATGACCCCAGCCAGCCCCGATTTCGGCGCCATTCCCAAGAAAATCGACATCTCGCCCCCACGACTGAAGCTGTCAGTCGTTCTCGTTGCCGACCCTGTTCGCCCTGCGAGTCTCCCAAGCATCTGCTTCCCATCCTTGTCACCCCCGGCTGCGATATCCCCCCATCGCGTCCGGTCGGCCAAGCCGGGAGCCGTTGTGGACTCTACCGCTCGTTCCCGTCGACTAAACCTTTTCGCGACTCTCTCTGGGGCTTAGACACTTTTGTTTTTCGTCAGCGGTGCTGTCTTTCCACGATTTGTATCGAAACGCGGAAGACCTTCTCACCTACCCTCCGAAAACACCGCTGCTGTGAACACGAGAGCATGAAAGACCGCGGATAGCGGCATGGCTCACTGCGGTTGACAGCACTGGTTCCCTGATAGATCTCCGCTACTAACAAAAACGACCAGCACAGCGGCGTATCTGAGTGCGATTGTCAATAAGATGTTCATAAGCTAGAAGGTTACGAGCGTCTCTTAAGCTGCAGTTCCCGCGAAAATCTCCCCTCGTTTTGCATTCGTTGTCAGACCTACACACAAAGCAAAGGCGATGGTAAAGGCACATATCATGCCCACTTTCGCTGACCAGCTAGACACGTACGAAAAGCCGACGATGGTTCCGATGAGCAGAGTTGCAGCGAGTGCAATACAGATCAGGCCGACTGCCACTGTGATTGACTTTTCGTTATAGCGACGGATTCGATGGAGCCCATCGCGGGACAGTTCATCCTTGACAGTGTCAGAATGACTTAAATGAGATGCTGGAGAACACATTACCTGTCCCGGCCAAGAGGCTCGGAGCCGTTTCGAGAGAAAGTCGGCCTCTGCTGACACTTTCAGGGAAACTAAATCCGTCTCGTCTTCCAAGAAGTGTCTTGGCCTTCCACCAAGCACTGGCAATGGCTGCTCGAGCCAGTTCCTCACTCAACCTTCCCAAGTCTTCTGGCAGATGCACATACAGCATTGCAGCAAAGGCTGGGACAGAGTTCATAGAAGCCTTGCCCGATACAGGGGCCCAGTTCAACATTATCTCAGCCCACTTGGCTCAAAAATTGCGTCTTGAGCCCAAACCTCATACAGAACGACTAATCCAGTTGCCAACCGGGGGTGATGTCTTGTCTCCAGGCTGCCTAGAGGTTCCCTTCAGTTTCAGAGGGGAATAGAAAGTGACGAATCTGGCATGCTTCATTCTCCCGCACATCTCTCATGATCTGGTCCTCTCAGGCGCCTTCCTTCGTGCACCGGAGACGTTAAAGAAGTATAAAAGCAGGATCACCGCTGCTGTTCGTCAAGGTGGCAAACGGCTCGGCCTGCGCCTTGTTGGGAATGAGAGGCGGTGCCTCCATGGTCTCATTGATGGACAGCCTGTCGGCCCTTCCTGATACAGGATCAGACGTCATGGTTATGTCCAAAGCATATGCTATTTCCCGCGGCTTCAACATCGACAGGAATCTTCAGAAATTTCTTGATCTTGAGCTTGCTGATGGTTCTGAAGCCTTCACATGTGGCCTAGTCCGCGGGGTAGACTGGACATTTGCTGCATCACGACAAAGCGTGAAATGCGACTTCTACGTTCTTGAAGACTTGTGTACGGATGTTGTGCTTACCAACGATTTCTTGTTTGGATTAGACGTTTTTTACACGGAATCAGAGTTCCTGTCCAAGCTTTCTCATAGCGAAGACTATTCAGAGCTATTGCTCATAAGCCTCAAGGGGAATTGTCCAGCTGAGTTGCCGCCGCATGAAGACCTGGCCAACATCGATCGTGAGTTCAAGTAGCCCTCCTTCGCTCATATTCTAGCACGTTGATATGATCATTTACTTACATATCGCTCTCGTAGTGACCTCTGCGGATGCTTTTAGCCGCCAGCGAGTACTTGCAGAGCTGCACCATCGCGACGAAGTGGACAACCTAATTGATGCGCCAGACCCTGGCGACCAAGAAACTGCTAGAAGGACAGAATTTGAGAGACGCAGGGTATGGGAGGAGATTCTACAGAGGCATCAACAACTACAGGTTGTTGCCCAATTGAATGGAAGCACGTCGCCAATGACTGCGCCAACCCAAGACGCACACACAGCGACGAGTAAACGCAGAAGGTGGGCCCTCAGGTTTCGCATACCTTCGTTGAGGGCCTCGAGGAAAGGGGGATAGGAATTGGCAGCGCAGGCTGGCTGTGTGAAAAGTCCTTTGAAGCATGACGTTCTGGCGTAGCGGGCGAAGTTTGTGAACTGTATCTGTACCCTTTTAGGAGTGGCCGTCTAGCTAATGCGTTCTTGGTCATTGAGTTACTCGCCTGACTCCTTCCTTCTGTAATGACCTTGCCCCTACTATCGTTTTTCCAATGCCATACGACTTCGTAATTCCGAAGACTGTGAACTCACTCCAAACGGCATAGATCTAAACCTTCGACTTGCTCTTTCTGCAGGGAAAGTGATGAATGTCGTTCGCGGTTCGGTCTGCTCGACATCCTCCTAAGATCTACGGTCTCATCAATCCGCTTCCTGGATCCTTCAAACGCCAGTTTCCGCAGAATAAGAGCAGCTATGGTCGATATCGTAGTCTAGGTCCCGATACATACTCACGCGCGAACACGGTGGATCACGAGCCATGCCGCCCTCCCCGCCTAGTAGCGTCGCACACAATGTGGAAGTGGCGTCTCGTAACCCTCTTAAGTTTCTCGACATCTGCCGGTGCGATGCCTACTCTGGCTAACTCCTCAACGTGTATACTGGGTGTGAATATAGCTGGCCGATTTTGCAGCAGTTCAACGTAGTAAAGAACGAAGGTTCTGGTACGAAATTGTGGCACACCGCCACCATGGAACCCCTCACGTGCCCCGTCTTGCTGCACGATGGTTTCCCAAAGTGTATAGATAATGTTCAGGCAAGCCTCGCATGCAGTCCTGGCGCCATCATCAGCCATGGTCTTTATTTAGCTACCATCTCGAAACTTTGAGAACAGCGTTCGGCCCGGAAGGCAAGGCGGACGTTGCTCCTTTGGTCGGGAAACCTACCACCTCCCAAGGAGCAGCGACAAAACTGTAAGACTCCCTTACTTATCAACCCTATGTTCATCTGCTACCGGCTCGAAGAGACCTCACTCTACCACCCGCATAACTGACATCTCGTACTGACAGTAGACCATCACTCAAAGGCCTCAAACGGCCTCTTCCAAAGCCCTCTCAGCTCTCCTCCTTTCCATGAAAGTAACAAGCAACTGATCATACGGCGCAGACCTCCCCGCCACCGCGCGTTTCGAGCTCATAGAATGCCTCTTACACGCCAGAGAGCCACCACACCGACGGCCCTCGGGCAGCGGGACGCCGCACTGGCGTTCGACGTCAATGGAACCTAGAAGTGGGGAGCCCTTGCCATCAGCCACTGCACATGAGCAGACAAATACACTCTCATTATGCATTGTGGATGGATTAGAGTTTCAAATCCACATACTTTCTGTTGCCTGACGCCTCTCGAAAGTCTGAGGCGTCGGAGTGGAGCCCGCGTGTTCGTGGACTGGAGGGGATGGTGGTGCTTGATCACCTGCATTCAAGACTCCGCTTGAACGAGCGGGGTTCATGGTTAGATGAGATTGGATGGGTGGACTGGTGCGGTGTTACAGTCGATCTCGACTGAGCTGAATAACGACGGGATACTGAAGATGCCGATATTAGCCTCTGCAAGATGGGGCGGTTCTATCATTGAGCCTAAGTACGTATATAGTAGCTACCCACTGTCGCAAAAATAATCCCAGAAAGTGGCGTCGAGAGGCCGAACCAAAGGACAGATTTCTTCGGGTGTCCAAGAAAACAAAGTTCTGGATGCTGCGTGAATCGAAGCTGGACGGCGGATGAGGGAGGGGGGCTTTGAAATTTCCGGATGAAAGATCTTCATTAATATGCAGGCAAGGTAGGATGAAGAGTGTAGTCACTTAAAGTCGGGAAAGTTTGAGGTCGCTTGATCGGCACGTGAGCTTCTGCCTGGATCGCGGCAGCTCGGGCTAGGTACCAACGGTGTGGTATCCACTTAAGTCCGACTCGGTCCCGGGAGACGTCGGCGGTGACCCACCCGAGGGGCCGACACGTCCTGGCTTCAGGGAGTCTCTCCCAGCTGTGGGCTTTGCACACATAGTAATTAGGTCATGCTTTTTCAAGAGTAAGGTAGCTTCCACGAGTTGCTATACACCAGTGACCTAGGTACCTTGGGCTCTCAGGAATTGTGCCCTTCTCCTCCAGATCAACATGCATCTGCGCGTTTGGTTCAACCTCGATTACTGGTCAATGGCCATGGATTGTATGCTTCAAGTATATAACATAGCCTCTCAACGAATTGATCCTTTCGTTTTCTAAGGGCAATAGTGAGGCTTCAATTGGTGGATCATCTATGACGAACGGCACTTGATCCTCGCCAAGACACGGCACGGCGGCCAATCTCGACTTGCCTGCCCTTCCTTTACGCTTCGAACCATCAAACTTTGGAACACCTGCCACTAAGTCACTTATAAGAGAAGCCATGTATATCTAAACGGTCAAAGAGGACCTGCTGGTCTCGCTAGTTCCTGCATCTACGACGATTAGCGACTTGATAATAAGCCGTGAGAATCGAGGATGGGTGCCCCTGGATACTTGTCCAGCTTGAATGTACTAAAAGGAACATCAAATCGTCCGGCTGTGGAAGTATTCTTCCTATTGAAAACCCTACGAAAAATCGACTGGCATGAGCTCCATTTCCGCTCAGTCGTTTTCTATAACTGCAACTTCCTGACGCTCGCAGGTAATCCCGAGGCGTCATCTAGCTCGAAGACTCTTTGACTACATCGAGAGCAATTAGAAAGCCAAAGAAGACTAACGACAGCTATGATAGCGTTAGCAAAGTGGTGAACTTAAACTAGCAGATTGCAAACATTGCGTGATAGTATCAGAGTAACATACAATCAAGAACCCCAACGCGAGCGTTGTTAGTTCGAACCCTCCGGCTAACGCCTTACCAGCAAACATGGCGTGCTGGAGCCTCCAGGCTCGGAACGCTCCCAGCAAAACGATACAGATCGAGAAGCTGTAGCACAAGGTAGCGAGCGGTTTACCCACGGCCGTATATCCGAAGCCTGTATCTGACGCCTGCAAGGCGAAGAGCTGCGCTACTACAGTCCCTAGGACAGCCGTAGCTAGTGATGTGCGAAGGTATCCTAGAAACGTTCGCTCGATCGCTTTGAGACAGGTGATATTTCTGTTAGCTATTGGCAATCCATTGATCATGACCAACGAATACGGAGGTAAGACTGGTGAAATAGGGATGACGGGACAGCTTCCGGCCCAGACGGCTGTCTGGTTCACGACATTACGAGACTGTAAGAGTTCGCGTAACACTGGCTGCCGTAGGTCCATCCGAAATGATCAGTGGCCCATCAAGCGCAACATCATGTATGGAATGCGACCTTGTCTGTACCCCAGGGAGAAGACACCCGTTTTAGTGTTGATGAGGGGGGATGTGACATTGTACAACTTTTTGGACATCATGATGCCTATATGCAATTTCTGGCCACGCAAAGATTGCCATGCAGGGAACGGAGGAAGGTAGATGACCACGGCCGCGAGATAGGTATCAAGGATCAGGGTCTGCTGTTCTGGTATCGAGGAAAGAAACTTTCGGGATGAATGGGACGATCAGGAATGACAATCTCAAGGGAGTTCTGGACGCATAGTAGAGAGGTGTCAGGGGTCACTAAACCGTGCAGACTGTTGCTTGACTGACCATCCGGTGCAAAAAGATCTGGAACAGTAACATCCCACCATCTTCCCGTATGATCGGGACGGAGTAGCAGAGCTATGAAGATGCGGAAGGGGTTTTCCGAACTCAATCTTGAAGTGCTCCTAATGCGAAACCGTGCGTAAAGAGCAGCTGGACACGCACAGAACGTACCTAGGTGGTCGCGGCAAGTCTCAAACTCCACTACTACGCTGACTTGTTTGCTCCAAAACCGCTTAATGACACATTCTTTGCTAGAGGACGGCGGGTTCTGGACCGATGATTCCGCACTTGAAGCCTCGGTGCTGCCCTTGTCTTTTCCAGTAACATTCAGAGCTGTCTCTAGCCGATGTTGGTTTGGTTCATCGTCATTTCGCCTCTCGTGATATCGTGTTGGCCCTTGCGATGTGATAGCGGAGATGTTCTCCGATGAGCGAGGCTCCTGTGACGGCATAGTGTATGTCTCCTGCTCGAAACGGGGCGGCGGTTTGCGTCACGTATTCGTCCTACCAGATGCTGAAAACGGCCCAGACCTTGCCAAGACCAACGGAGCAGCAACAAGAAGACTATTGAATAGATGCAGGAACACCGACTTGGCTGCGTGGGTTCAACGTTGATAAGTCTCCGGTTATATTGCAGCCTTGTTGTGTAAGTATTGTCTAGTGTCGTCGTGGGATGTGTTGGATTGCAGGCGATCGAACAAATTCAGGTACCATAAGAAGAGGCCTGTGGTGTCATAATCGACGCGAAAGATAACGAACAATTGTCAAACATCATGGAGGAACCAAGAGATGAATGTGCCCATCCTGACGCTCAACTGGCCGGCAGTTTGAGCTCGGCGATGACACCGGGCAGACGGCAGTCGGCAGCGGCAAACTCCCTCGACATATCGACTAAATGCGGCTGCCGGCGATAGGGACGAGGATTGGCGCAGACGTTGACTTGCCGACAGAGATAGGGCAAATGGTCGCCGATGAAAACGAATGATCCACTAGATAGACAGGGATGGCTAAGTGGCGGTGGCTTGGTAGACGATTCGATGTTTGAGCCAGAATATGCTTGAATCGGTGTGTAGAAGCCAACGACCGGCACTATCTGCCGTGCGGGAACTTGCTACCATCTCGGTCTACTTGATTCCTCCGGGGAACAGGAAGTTGAAAGATGTGCTCCGCGTAGATTTCGCCGTTGTCCTTGGATGTTCTGGAAAGGTCATCGTACCTAGCGTAGAACTGAGCAAGGGAGTGAGATGGAGACAATGCAGCTCCTCCCCGCACTCCACTGTTCTCCAACTTCTAGATCTGCAACCTAGTGGCAGGAGCATCCACACAGAAATGGTTAACCAAGACGGTGGAGGCAGGCGGTTCCGCTACGGCGGGTTTGACGGTTGTTGTTTGGGTTGAGGTGACCTAAGATCTTGTGATGGAACGAGACGTACCAAGGAAGTTGAGGACGGGACGAGGCTCAGGTACGGCCGCAATAAGAAAACCTCCGACGGGTGTTCCTGCACTTTCTGCTCACGTCGGCGGTAGGTCTACTCCACGGATCACATGTGCTTCCGAACCGAACTCAGGGTCGCATCTCTCCATGCAGGTGCATTTTCTCCGTGACTCCCGTGCCAAAACCATCTATCCTCAGGTAAGGTACCCGAGCTGACGTGCCTTTCGCAACCCGCTTCATATAAAAATGGCTGCGAATTAACATGGGAAAGCATGACGTATCACGGTTGGGGTCGACGAAACTGCTCGTTCGTTCAACACCGTCCTGTCGAGAATCATCGCCGCTTCCCTACCTTGGCCAAGACAAACCAAAATAGTTTACAGCACCGCCGCGGGACTCTCACTCGATATGCAACTGCAAAGTTTCCCGGAGAGACTTCCGCAACAGTCAGGCACTTTCCATTCGCATGTGAAGTCCCAATGAGAATGGAGTCTTGACAGGGTACATCGCTTTCCGTCCAGAGTCGCACCACATGAGACGAACGACGACCTTTTTGAGATGGACAGCCGATCAAGTACTGGAATGAAAGGACACTGCGCAAACTTCATGGCCTGATTCTTCGGGTCGTTGTTGCTTTACCTACTTAAGGTGGCAGGCTGCTTAACGGCGGGCCTCTGCAAGGTGCGGATGCAACGCAGTCATGCACCACACGCAAGCACTGTCCGAATAGCCCTTTGCTGGGGCCCTTGATTGAAGCCATTCCCGATCTAGCGCCAGGGTCAGTACTACACATCAGGAACAGGGCATCCCATGGCTTTGATACGGCTGGTCCAGGAACGCCATGGTTGTCGGCAAGGCACGGCTGGTCTGCATCCGACTATACTGCAGTTCTTACACCGACGCAACCCTCCCCGATTATCGAAAAGTTCGACGGGCGTCTTACGAGCCGGGATCTTCAGACCAAAAGACAAAACCATCTGGCTCGATATCCGGTTCATGGAAAGATGATTCCCCGCCTTCCCTGGGAATAACGATCCGCATCGATAGCTAGGATATCGGGAGGCAACGACAGAATCCTGGCTTCTGGTAATAGTCTACACCTTGCGAGGTATCATTGCAGCCGTCACCTTGGGATTGACTTCGTTGGACTATCCCCCTCTCGCATCAACGACGAAGAGATCGTATGTTAGCGTGAATCCGTTTGACTCCGAGCCTGTCGGAACCTACCTCTCTATGAAAAGGACGAGTTACCTAATTCGGATGGGGAAGCTTCTCAAGAGTAGCCGCAAGCAACTCGGCGATCAGGGATCTGTCAGTGGAACAGCAGCGACCCAGACGCCGTCCTGTTGGGACTCGGAATCCGGACCCCACCTCCCCCAGTCTCGCCATGCAAGTTTGTCCTTCCGGCCAGCCAATCCGGCTCACTAAAGGGTAGGACGGGCCGCCGAGCCGTCGTTCGGTTCCTTCATCATGATCCCTAGCCTCAGGTCGCCCTGGATCTCGATAACTTATTGTCAGCTATTCAGGCTCACGTCCGCCCTATCCTACTGGACGCCCCTTCCCCGAACGTTATTGGCACTGCGAAAAATTTGACGCGGACACATGCGACCTTTTATATTTCTTACCGTCAACGCGTTCAAGTCGCCGATCCTTTACGGTATGGACAAGTTCACTGGGCATTGAACTTGCCCATCATCCACAACCCATGATGGTAAGCCCCTCGTGCTTCTCCGGCGAAGCAGGGGCCGTCAGCCTAGCCCCGTGCTCCCAATCGGACAGTTGGGGTTTCGTCTAACGGGTGCACGGAATGGCCAATTGGGAACGCTGTCGGTTCCGATACTCCGTCTGCACCACGGCGGGTTTCTTTCAAGTGCCATGGGACGTTGGGTCGCAGGTTCCCCGGACAAGTGCAACGAAGGCCAGTCTGTCCGTCGTCCCTGGATTCCTTGACCACGCGGCGATAACTTCCGGCCTGCCGGGAGACTCTTTTAGCGCCGATGTGCAGCTCTATGTGAGATGAATCCGATACTAGCTGAGATCAAAAACTGCAATCTTGGGTTCCAAACGTTGCGCAGCTCCTGGTTCCTCCTTGAATCTTGCGTTCCATGCCATGGATTTGTGATTGACAACCTTGACCTGCGTATGCAACCAGGCGGACCGCAGCTCTCAGCAGCGATGCACCGAATGCTGACGAGATCGATAGCACGATGGAACTACAAGACTCGGGTGCCTGTTGATTAAGCAATGTTCTATTTGCCGGCTACCGCTTTGCCTCATTTGGCTCAACTTTCTCGCGGATGCTTCGCGATGTTGCAGGCATGGTAGCCTGGACAATGGTTCGGAAGAAACGGTCTTGAGTCCTTGACCAGGGGACCTTACCAGAACAAGGCCCCTATTCTCACACCCCTTGGGGAAGCTGACGTGAAGCAGAATAGGTATCCGTAGCGTAACCCCACTTGGTCATTTGTCCGCTAACTTAACGCACTCCCTCATGAACTCCAACTGCTTCCCCGTCGACCTGCCTTGCGTCCACCGCTCGAACGGTCCGTTCTTACCGAAAGAGCCTATATCGCCCAGAAAAGGCAGCAAAAAGAAAGTACGGCGTTGCCTTTCACCAGCAATGCTTGTGCATGGTTTGGCATGGCACAGCAGCTCGACAGGGAATTGAAAAGCATCTGCTGGTCATAAAGTCAAGTGACTCGACTTGAAGCGCTCAAATCCTACATTGGCCTTGCTTGTTATCGGCGGCGTTGTGGTAACCCTTACTTGCAGACATTTGGACACCAACCCGCTTGTCCTGGGTGGTGAGAAATCTCCCCATCCCGGCAGCCAATGTTGCCATGCACCACCGGGCTCTCCGTTTCCTATCGATGCTGGGCGGAGGATTGTCCACAAGCAGCTGACAAGTTGCCATTGAAGCTTCCGTTTAAAAGACGTACGTGGAAAAGTCCCCCTCCATTTGAATGTACTAGTCCCCATACGTCTGCCCAACCTTTCGGGATCCTGCTAGGTTGTACTTCGTTTCTCACCCCTTCCGTGGCTCTCGTTATCAGTCCCGTTTCTCTACTTCCTT